GTGTCTTCCTTTAGAATCTGCACAGAAGTTTTTTTGGTGTGAATGCAGTCCAAAAGGAGTAGAACATGGCTAGATCTGTCCTATTTTTCTCTCAGCAGAGATGTGACTGCTGTTTCTTAGAAATTACACATCTAACAGAAATGAAGCCACATTGGCTACATACCTTCCTGGATTTCTCATGTTGTTTGGGCAGGCTAAGAGCCTGACTCTGTGTGTGGCAATCCATAAAATGGCCTCACTGGGTTTTCTCTAAGTAAAAGAAATTCATCAAAGCACATCTTAAATTACTTATTATGGCATCATCTTGGGCTAAAATGAGAGCCCACATCAGGAAAGAAGCTGTAAGGGATGGGAAGGCGTGGGAACTGAAAGATGACACATGGTAAGAGATACCATCTGCCTAAAGAGAAACTATGCTATTTCAGTTTTACAAGATCTAGTCTGCTTGGTATACCCTAATAAGCATCATGGACAGCTTGTTTAGGGTATATGGAAACCAAGTGGGTGATCACAGGGACTACAACAGAACAGCAGCTGACACAGTAAATGTGACTAAAATGCATTGCAACTCCAGTTAACTCTGTTGATAGATACAAACCCAGTGGTTACTTGCAAATGATTTTAGCTTTGTTTTTTCAAATACAAATAAAGATGCTGGATACCCAAATGATGCTTATTTTCAATTAGATTAGGAGACTTAATTCCTTAGATACTTGACAATTCCTCACTAGATTGCTTGGTATTTCCATGCAAGCAGTACAAGGTTACCTTATCAGTTACAAGAATCCTTCCTGTCTGCCAATCTGTAATAGGCTCAGTTTTGGTTTTCTCTTTGCCATTTCAAAAATAAAGTAATATAAAAACAAAGAAAAAAAAACAACCAAAAAACTTCCCAAGCTGACCCACTGGCAACAAGCAGTGTTGAAAAGTATCCAAGGCAATTTTGTTGTACTCTGTACTTGTTCTTTGCAAATTCATACTCTGAGAATAGATCTCATATCCAAAGCCCCATAATAATCATCACTAACTCAGCTTAAAACCTAGAGAAAACAAAAGGTCTTGGTTTTCAAGAATCATGTCAGGAATAGTACATAATACTTCTAGTTTCTTAACTGCTGCCTTTCCATTACTGCTGTTCAAATTCATTGAGGTGTTATGCTGTCTGCATTTTATCTGCAAAGTAAAAATGTTTCTTGTGACAAAAGAGAGAGAAAAGCTTTTTACATTTCTTATTCCAGGAGATGCTTGAAGAGTCCCATAATTATTCTGTATTTTCTAATGCTGTAGCTCATTCCTGACCTGGTATTTTATTTCAGCATAGGACTGCAGAGCAAGGGTACCCCAGCTGAGCTTTCCAGTACCTGTGGAGCAGGCGGATACTGCCACCTTGGGGAGGACTTTTTCCACATTTGAGGAGCCTATGCAAGTGTCATATAAATCAGTTTGATTTTTTTCCCCCTGTCATATCCTCCCAGGAAGACAACTTTTTAAAATCCTCTGCCCGTGCTATTGTAAGACCTTCCAGATGTGTTCCAGCTCAGACTGTACTACTTTCATAATAATACTGGAAAGAAATGCCTTTTTTCTTTTTTGTGGAGAAGTTTGCTTAGTTTTAGATCTCATTTAAGTAGTGCCTCATTTACAATACTCTTAATTTTACAGCCATCTTGCCATCATAAAAGCCCTGTTCTGCATCCAGCTGGGCAAGCTGTATTTTGCATATAACAGTCCTTTGCTTCTGGGATTCTACTTTTCTTGGTAATCTAAACCCTTGTCCATGTCAGCTAAAATTATCTCCTTGGCAGGCTATTGGCACAGCTGGATGTGACTGCTAGAACATATACAACCTCAGATGTCATAAGGGGCATTATAGTGCACAGGAATAGTCCAATGAAAAGTACAGAGCTAGACTGTGACTGTTTAACCAAGTCATTTAACCAAAGTCAAGACTTCTAGGCAAATTCAAGGAAGCAAGTGGATTTTATCTCAGAATATCCATAGTTTTATGACACTGACCTACCTTATTGCTTTGCAAGTGAGCCCCCCTTTGTCCAGTCTTCTTTGAGTTTGTATTCACCAGCAAATGAAGGATCCTTCCCATACACTTTACATATAAATGTGCCTTCAGACACACAGGCTGTGCCCAGCTTAGACACAAATCCTTTCACAGTGGAAACTATCAGGAGTTGCCCTGGGTACACATACAGTACAGGGAAAGATTTAATGTCTGAGCTCTCACCAGAAGAGGCAGGCTTGAGAACAGAGAGCTGTCTGAAAGTAACTTGTCTATGTGCTCTAACAACATATAGCAATAAAATTTTTACACTGTCATCTACAGCCAAGTAACACAAACAATTAACTTGTTCATGATGACTGATGTGAATTTACACTTGGAGGTTGTGATGGTACCATTAGCTCCCACCTTCTGCCAAAGCACTGGTTGTGCTTGTGGTTCCACAGCAGGAGACAACAGGTTTCTAGAGGAACTCAAGACTCAGCTCATTGCTGTGGCAGGCAGGAACAGTAATACTACTGCAATAAACCAATACTTACAGGCTTCCACATAGAGCTACACTTTGGATGACAATGTCCCCAGCTGAACTGGGCTCTGGGAAGCACCTTCCTCTTCTTCCCACCACAGACATCCTGTGTACCAGATTTGTGTTCTCACTGTAATGACACATATCTTAATTCCCCTGGAGCAAACATGTGCCTCCACCCACCTGGGATTTACAGAGAGACAGCTTATCCTTGTGAACAGACAGGAAGGGCTCAGCCATTCTTCCATTCTGTAACTCGAACTTGGTCATTAAAGCACGAATTTGCATTTATTTTCCATTAAGGCAATAGGAGTTCTAATGAGCTACTTTCCTACTTGTGTGAAATTGTCAAAAAAAAGCAAGTGATAGGTCTGTTCTGCACTTGTGGGAAATTGTCAAAAAAAGCAAGTGATAGGTCTGTTCTGGACAAACTTTTCATCCCTGGTTTTAATGCTACTATAGCATGGCAAATAATGATGATTGCAAGAGAAATGTATTAAGCTATGCAGCCAACAGCCAATGCACATAACTAGTAGTGGTGCAAGCCTTCAGTTTTCTTCCTGATTCACAAATAATTTATGTATTTTAATCCATTTTTTATTATTTTAATCCATCTTTGTTAGGCAAACAGTTTTATATATGCATATGATTTACACTGTGCTTTGAAAATATTGCAATTATCAATTTATTGCAATAATAAGAGAGTGCATATGCTCTTCACATGCATATATGAACACACATTCAAGAACATGCAGGACAGATTAACCCCAGTACCTCCATTATCCCTTACACATTTAACTGCTGGTAGAACTCAAGTAAATTTCAAAAATATCAGTATCACACAATCACTAAAGTGACTGCAAAAACTCTATCTGCAGCTAAGTTGCAAAAATAGAACAGTGGAAATTACTGACCAAATATATCCAATTGAATGAGGATCTGTCAGTAACAGATTAACCAGATTAATGTGTACGTAACAGTCCCAGCATGGTACGTTGCTCCTGCTAGTTTCAAAGTTCACATATGAACTTCTTTTCACACTGCACAGGTGGTTTATAAATGAAATCTGAATGGAAGACAAATTTAAGGGAAAATAAGGTAAGTGACATAATATGAAATTAATTTAAGTATTTAAGAGTAGACTCATGGGAAAAAGAACATATCTTTGTGATTTAAAAAAGGAATGCACAAATGCACGTCTACCATGGCACATTATTAGGCTACAGAAAAAGTATACAATGCACATCTAGACTGATGAATAACTGAAGACAATAATTTTGTCAAGTGCCTTTTTAAAAGGAAATTGATCATTGAACAATCCACAAAAACCTCACTGTGAATTCAGCATGGAAATTATCATCTAGAGTATTCAATGTTGTCTGTAAGAAAATTAGTATGTTACTAGCTCTTGCATGTTTGGTGTTGTACTAAACTTATTTTAAAAGTTTGATTTAGGCATGGATTTAATATGAGGGAGAAAGCTTAAACTGCACAGCAAGAATCTAAATAAATTAATCCCAGGAAATCCTAGTCTAAATTTATCTATGGTCTCTCGATGAGTACTTAAACATGGTATCTTAACAAAAAAATAAATTCTTTATGAAGATCAGATGTCACAGAAAACTTAAAATCAACTACTTATTTTGCCTTTATGTTTTTTCCATCTGAAAAATGTCTGAATTTATTTAAATAGACAGTCTTCCTGTCAGATGATTAACATGCAACAAAACCCCACCAGATACTGGATTAGAGAAAAGTAAAAAAGAGAATGAGAGACCTTATTTATGAACATGCAGCTTTGGCTATTTCAGCTCTTCTCTTTCATCATTAAGACATACTTCTTATCTTGATCTGCATCAGAAAGCCCTTTCAGATTACTGTCTATTTCAACTTCAGCAGTAGCTGCTTGAAGACATATTCTAAGATGTTCTCTGCTGTGAAAAATTATTCCTTTAAAATCTACTTCTCCCTGATTATCCTTTTTCTCCTAAAACAAGTAAATATTTACATCCTGAAACATGGTTACTTAATAACAGCAGCACCTATTTGCCACCATTCTTTTCTTCCTCCCCTAGTTTTCCTCCTTTTCCTAACCTACTCCCCCAGCACAACAAGGCTGTTTTCCACAGTTGTTTCCTAACTCCTCCCTTCTCTGTTGCCTCTCCTTAGCTCTGGCTGCTTTGCTTGTTCCTCTTTACATGTAAGATTCTTTCCCAGCTCTTCAGTTTATGCCAGTGCAGAAGTGTGGTCAGTTGGGCTGCTCTTGTACCACAAAGATCTGTCCTTGGATCAGATCGAGGTATATGTCCTGTACTGAATGTCTGCCTACACCACACACTTCTCAAAACATTTCAGGCAGGGAAAAACACTCAAAAGACATTGAATTTTGAAATTTTCACTGTTTTGGCTTTTTTTTTTTAAGTTACCTGAAAACCTTATGTTATTTGTACTTCACTTAGGTTTGTGGATAAAAGCATAGACAATGGCAGACGCCAATGAGATGACCATCAACCTTGTTGTCCTTGGAAAAACTCAGACTGGCAAAAGTGCTGCTGGGAACAACCTGCTGGGGAGCTCAGACTTTGAGAGCCATTACTCCCCAAGGTCTGTGACTATGTGCTGTAGCCTCGGATGCAGCTGCCGCATTTTGGGGATTATACGCAGAAATGGCTGTGAACTAGCTCTCCGTGTCCGAGTACTTGACACTCCAAGCTACCCTCACAGTGGGCTGAGCAAAGAGCATGTGAGAGACACAGTGAGATCAGCCCTGGCTTACCACTTTGGGGAGGAAGGCCTGCACCTAGCTCTCTTGGTCCTGAGGGCTGACTTGCCTCTGTGTCCAGATGAAAGTGATGATGCAGTTCAGTTCATCCAGGTAACAAAAACCAGAATTCTCTGCCCTAATGGCAAATCTTTCATCTTTAGGTGACAAAAGTTGTGGAAGAGTTGACTGCAAAAGTGAAATGAAAAAGGGCAGATGAAAATCAGAACACTTCCCAGTCCAGCAGTTGAAACCATTCCCAACTCCTATACCATAGCTACATTTACTGCACTAAAACTTGAGAAGAGATAGGCAAAAACTGCTCTCTTTTGTAAGTGGGCTCAGCAGAAAGGAATTTAGGAATCAACAAAGTAAGCTTTTCTCTCAGAACTAGAGTTCATGGTTTATCATGACAGATCTAGCTTGTTGAAGAGAAATGCTGTCTAAAGCAAGCCAAAGTCAGTTACCTTACTCTCCTGTGCTCTCTAAAACACCAAGGCAGAGACCAGTGGGTCCAAAATTGTGCAGAAAATCTGACCTGGGACAAGGATGATCAGCTCAGTCCTGCACTGGTACTACTACTGCATCTATTCAAGAGAAAATAACTAGAGAGATACCATAAATTTACTCTGGCTGAGGAAAATTTCTAGCATAACTGACTTTGAGCAAGTATTTTGAGGCTTCTGAGAGAGCTTTAGTTTTTTGCAAGCAGGTAAGATATGTAGGGAGAGACAATGAAAAGGAAAGGCTTTCTGTTCACTTGGGGATTTCTCATTACCATGCAGACATATCTTTGAAGAGGAAAAAGAAGAGGCCAGCAAACAGATATTGTCTAGTTTGCCTGTCTGATCAGATGAACCAAATTTGTATGACTTACTAAGAAACAAAGGGTTTCAGTTATTGCCAAAGTTACACTTTGCATGTGTTACACTAAGGAACTTCCTAAAAATCCATGACTGGAAAGGACTTCTCAGTCCATCTAATCTTTTCACCTGCTGTAACTGATATTATCTAAATATACAATACATACGTAGATAAAAATACACCAGTAATTAAATATATAGAGATGGAAATATAGCTTTTAAAATGTGTTTGATTTCCTCTCTCTAATGGTAGGCTACTCCTCACTTCTTCAGTAGTTTGAGGGTTGGTTCTAATTTCAACACACTCTTATTGTCAGTTTATGTGTATTTGAGTGTTACCCTTTTTCCTTATACAGTTCTCCATCTCCTGATACTACATAATACTTCTGACTCAAAGTATTTTTACTCTAAGCCAATGAAAAATTATCATGCTTCTAGTCTGAGACTGTTTTGGATTAAGTCCATGTGGGCATTAAAAGGACAAGAGAATAAATCATGTATCTTTTCCCTTTTAAATGGACCTCTAAAACACCTACTGTAAAGGAAATAAAGCAGAGTCACAGAATGGTTTGTTGGAGGGGACTTTAAAGATCATTTTGTTCCAACCCCCTGCTATGGACAAGGACACCTTCCACTCGATCAGGCTGCTCAGAGCCCCACCCCATCTGGCCTTGAATACATTGAGGGATGAGGCACCCACAGATTCTCTGGGACACCTGTTCCAGTGTCTTGCCACCCTCACAGTAAAGAATTTCTTCCTAATACCTAATCTAAACCCATCTTCTTTCAATTTGAATCCATTCCCCCTTATCTTCTCCCTACAAGCCCTCGTAAAACATCCCTCTCCATCTATCCTGTAGACCCTCCTTAGGAACTGGGAGGCTGCTGTAAGGTCTCTCCAGAGCTTTCTCTGCTCCAGGCTGAACCACCTTCGCAGTCTGTCTTCCTAGGAGAGCTGCTCCAGCCCTCTGAGATTTTTGTGGCCTCCTCTGGACTCACCCCAACAGGTCCTCATCCTTCTTATGCTGAAGGCCCCAAAGCTGGATGCAGTACCCCAGGTGGGCTCTCATGAGAATGGAGTAGAGGGGCAGAACCACCTCCCTTGACTTGCTGCTCAAGCTTCTTTTAATGCAACCCAGGTTATGGTTGGCTTTCTGGGCTGCAAGCACACACTGCTGGGCCATGTCAAGCTTATCATCCACCAACACACCGAAGTCCTTCTCCTCAGGCCTGCTCCCAGTCTGCTCTCTGCCCAGCTTGTATTTGTGCTTGGGATTGCCCTGACCCACGTGCAGGACCTTCCACTTGGCCTTGTTTAACTTTGTGAGGTTTCCCAGTTGGTGAGAACAAGGTCTAGCATAACACCTCACCTCATTACCTCCTCTATCACTTGGAGAAGGACTTTATCATCAATGCATTCCAGGAACTGGCTTGACTGCTTATGCCCTACTGTGTTGTCCCTCCAACAGATATTGCAGTGGTTGAAGTCCCCTGTGAGGACCAGGGCTTGTGCATGTGAGGCTGCTCCTATCTGTCTCCAGAAGGCCTCATGTGCTCAGTCTTCCTGGTCAGGCAGCCTGTAGCAGACATCCACTACTATGTCACCTAATGCTGCACTGTTAAATCCTGACCCATAAGCTCTTGACTGGCTCCTCAACCATCCTCAGGCAAAGCTCCGTGCACTCCAGCTGGTCACTGACCCCCCCTTCATCTCCTCCCACCTTCTATTCCAACATTCCAGTCCTAGGAGCCATGTCACTGCACTTCCATGACACCAAAGAGATGATAGCGCTGCAGGTGAGCACACTAACAACACTTCTGTTTCATGGCCAAAACTGACTCTCAGCTTAGTTAGCTCTTTTAGTTATTTTCCCCTTGAAAGACCAGATGCCGTGATTTCAAGGGGAAACCACTACAAATAAATAGGGCAGGACAGGTGCCAGGAAAATGAACAGTAATAGTTTTATTCCAGTATGCCATTCCAGGGAAATGTAAGCTTGAAAACTACTAGCTTTAGCAATCAGGAGCTTTTACCATGATTCTCTGCAAATCAGGGATGGCACACAAATGAAGATGGCATAGCAGTAAAGACTACTAGAATTTAAACCTGCCTGGAGTTTGGTTTTTCCTAGTAACAGCCTAATGAATTGAGAGTGGCAGATATAATGTTCATTCTGAAATTAATAACTGAGTCCTCAGCAAATCAAGGCACTAACCTGTCTTTCTAAAACTGATAACCCAAGACTGTCCTAGGCAGCTTACGGCAAAATTTTGTTAAATTCTTTTCAACCCTAGTGTCTAAACCAGATTAATCACTATTAATACATCAGGTTTTTCTAACTCCCTGCTTATATTGGAAGTAGAAAGATATCTCTTCAAGCAGGTTTATAATATCTTGGTATTTAGGTTACAGAGTTTAGATAATTGCAGTGCAATTATTATTGCAGTGCATTATTAACACACACAAGAGTTAGAATGATTGGACTGAAGTTGCAATTCATTTACATATGTAAATTAAAGCCCAATCTCTTATTCATATTAAAATTTTCTGTACTTGCTGAGAGAAAAGCAACTTGTTCTCTGCATTCTCCTCCATCAGATAAACCACAGCAGTTAAACTCTCTGGCCTGTTATTTTGGTTGATGCATTTGATTTGTGTTTTCCCTGAATTGTTGAGAATAGTTCAGTTCTATGGGCCACAGCTGGAACTGCAGTTTGTGTTACAAAGAAATTAATCATTTATTTTTTCAACAAAAGGTGATTTAAAAAAAAAATTCTTCAAAGAGCTGCAAAAAGTGTAAAAATATGGGTATGTGAGAGCTACTGATTTAAAACTGTGTGACATAGCTAAACAACCACTTGTCCTTATTTACATGAATATTTTTGAAGTGGAGAAATTCTATTAACATCCATAGTCAGAGAACAAAGAACTGCTAGTACTGCACAACCACATTTTCCACTGAAAGTGGATATCAATGCCTTGGAAAGGTTAGAAAATCACAGAAATTTCAGCAACTTAGGTAGCATGAACTGGATTATTGCCAGGAAAAGAAAAAATTATTAATTGGCCTGTTAATGTACTAAGTATATGAAATGGGAGTGGGGAAAAGGAACAAGAAGAGAGAACTATTTAAGATTTGGTTTTCATTACAGGAACTTCTGGGTCCCAATTGGAAGGATTTCACTGCAGTTCTACTTACTCATGCTGACAAGGCAGAAGAGGCTGGATGCAGTGAGGAAGAATACCTGCACAGTGCCTCAAGTACCCTATTGTCACTACTGAACTCACTACAGCACAAATATATTTTCCTTGATAACCAGAGGAGCATGATTAAAGAGGAAAGAACTATTGTCTTAAGAAAGCTCTTGAACTTTATAAGACAAAATAATTATCAAGCTCTTCTACTTAAAAACAATAAGAAACAAAATTAGCTTTCAGGTACTCCTTTGCCTATTTTGTACAGTCAGTAACATTTAATAGAAATAGACAAGTAGAAGCCATCAACTGGAAAATTCCACATCAAATATGTTCGAACACACAGTTTGAAATACCTCTTTAGATTGCCAAACTACTTGCTTTTCATAGAGCACCTCACACTACTGCAGCCAGAATCCTAGCTGTAACCACAAAATGAGAACAAGCTAGTGCTCTAAAATCATGCTCTTAGTAGGTATGTAATCACAAATGAGATTTTGGACTGCACCAGGCTGCATATGACAGTTCACACACAATACAGATCTGCAAGAAACAAAAGTAAAAAATGCACAAGTTCAGACTGTAAGGGAGCATCTCTACTCTATTCTTTAAGCTTTCAGGAGTTCCTTCGAATTCCAGAATTTCCTCTGAACTTCCAGGTCTGTAAAGAGCTCTCTGGTATTAAAAGCTACGATTCATCTACTGTAAAAGTATTTCCTTACCTTGATTCAAGATTAGTTATAACTGAGTTTCTGAACTTCAAGGATTTGGGTTAATAGGACATTATTGGATATGTAGTTTACAAGGCAGATAAAATAGCTTCCATGTGCTTTATGTTATTCAGCACATTTAAGAGAACTAATTACTACTGCTTATTCCCAGATGCACAAAAATCTAACACAGTTTACAGGCACACACAAAACTCATTTGAAATCTGTTCATCTCTTCTTTTTGCAACTGTTCCTTTTAATTTTATATCACTGTTATTTTGTTTTCTCTCTGTTTACTGGACAACCTTCAAAGCCTGAAAATTTGGAGAGGCTGAGTGTTTTTATTTCAGTAGTTAACATGGTTCTTACTGTTTCAATGGACAGTAAATATTTAATTCAATATTATACCTCTAAATAGCTGCTTAAAAGGTTTATTATAAATTGAGCCAAAACATTCATTTTCATATTACTAGAAAGATTTAAAAGTAGCAATTTGAGGCTATTACTCTAGCAGCACGACTCTTTGCACATTATTATTGAATAATTCTAAGGAAGCTATTTCTGTTAAAATCAAAGTACCTTTTGTATAAAGTATCATTGTAGAAAACTACATTAAAACAACAAAAAATAAGCAATTCTTTTTCTACCTGTTTGGACAGTAGAAACAGATTTTGGTTTCCAGTATTTGACTAGCTCCAGCAGTCTATTTGTTATTCATTATTTCTTAGTCCTATCCATCATTTGGACAGAAATACCTGGGTGGACTAGATTAATAACTATTTTAGCAAAGTGACAGCTTTGATCTTAATGAAATTTTAACAGCTTAGCTGTGGTACATAAAAGTATGTCCACTTGTACATCTGAGGGCATAAAGTACCATAGTTCAATCTTCCTGTTACAGCTGTTACACGTGTACAGACTACAGAGATAACAGAGGCAAGAACAAAGTTGCAGAGGCTTATAATATATCTGAAAACTGCTTGGAACAAGAGGAGAAAAATGATTACAAGGGGACTAGAAGAACAAAGGCAGTTGTGGCCTTCACTATCCAGCTGCTAGTCCTGCAATTAGCACACAAGGAATGTGGCAGAAATTCTTCCTTATTGAGATGCATGTGCTCCATAGATCCCCTAAACCTTTAAGCTGTTCATAAAATACATTTGCCTATGTGTAGTCTCACCACAAACAAGCCTTGGCAATTAAGTTCTGAGCACTGAGTAGTTGATAATTGTTGACAACACATAACCTCAAGGACAGTAAGCATGGTGAATGAGTGAATTGTGAAAATGTTGGAGGCATAACACATCCTATACCTCTGGAAGAGGAGTCGAACAAAAAAACTCTTAGCCATGCATTTCACATTTTTTATTGTGCTTGCATCACTTTCCATTTCAACATCTGAAAAAGTTTCTAACCATTTCTTTATTTAATTCCACTGTTTGCCATGGTCTCTGCCCTGCAGACTCCTTTCCCTTTCACTTCAAATGGAACTCCTTTGTATGTAGCAACACACTGGTCATTGGTGTGAAGATCAGGTTGGATTTGCTCCCAAATCTTCTTCTTGGGATTAAGTTCCTTCTCAGGATCTCCTGTTTCAAAACAAAGAATAACCTAATAGCACACAACTTGGAGCAAGAGCTCTATGTATGTATACAAAATAACCTAATAGCACACAAATTGGAGCAAGAGCTCTATGTATGTATACACATCTCTGACAGACCACATAGCATCACTGCCCACACTTTTAGGGGGAAAACAAACCCCTTCACCTTTGATTTTCAAAATGAAAACTTTTATTGGAATTAGGAATTGTCTAGAAAAAGCCTCCAGAACCTCTCTCAAAATGGTGATCTTTCAGGGGAAAAAAGGTTGCAACAGATCACACACACTGTCAAAAGGAAGAAATTAAACCACTGCTAGTTGATACTTTACATTTATTACAGACCAAAACGATTCCTAAGAATTAACTAGATGTGGACCACAGAAATACACTACTCAGCAAGACATGGGTTTGTAGGTGTCTTAAACTTAGAAATTAATGATTCTTTTATAAGCGATTAAGTGAATTTAGCAGATGCTCTTACAGTTGAGAAATACTGAACTTAGACAAGAATAATCCAGAGGTAGAATACTGATTTATAATTTTAGCCCTAAGTTTCAACACTGTTTTGCTCCTTTTTGTACTATTTGATGACAAGCTCTGGTGCCTAAAATAACAATAAAAGTTAGCTAGTATTTCAGCAATTATGGCCTCAATTTCCTGTTTCCAGGCACACACCATGATAAGCAACCTATGCCCTAGAAGTATTGACAGTCTAACTGTATTAGCAAATCTGATTATACAAGGACCACAAAATGCAGGTTTGTCCTACTAATGTTTTGAAACACAGTCAACAAACTAGACAGGAAAAAAATATTAAATACTCAGCTATGCTATTTTTAAATAAGCACAAAATACAAAGTATAGAAACAAAACAACTAAGCTAAATAAGCTTTCTTGAACAAACTGCTCCCTGTTGACATAATCTAGATAAAGCAAGGCAGTCAACTTGCTGTAACAATTATTTTCTGTTCAAAGGTCAAGTACATTTAATCTCTTAATTCTGATACAATGCAGATTATATTAAAGAAAAAGATTTAATTAAAAAACACATTTAGTCTCTTAATTCTGATACAATGCAGATGCTATTAAAGAAAAAGATTTAATTAAAAAAGTCATTTAATCACTATGATGGCTACTTTTGACCTCTTGTATGTCACACAAAAGACAAAAAAGTATTATTTAATACTCAAAGTATTATTTAAATATAATTAGAGCACATTTAAATACTGAAATGGATCCCATGCTATTTCATTGTTGTTACACTCTCTCTCTATATATTTTATTTTTTACTTGCTTGGAGTGCCATATTGGCACCATTCTGCCCAAACTATCAAAATCTTAAGGTCCAGGACAAGCAAGATTCAAAACCCAAATCCTAGTAATCATATCCTCCCTGAGATCCTCTCAGAGGAGGCTCTCCAAGTGTGCAGAACATCAAGTATTCTTATATTGCACTACTCAGTGTTGCCAAAGGTTCAAGAAGGAAAACTGTAAAGCTTCATGGTTTTTAACATACATGTTTCTAGTAGGTGGTTGAAATTCATTACTATTTGGTGTATTCCTGACTGACTGACCAACAAGTGGTTAAATGTTATTCTCCTTTAAATGTTTTCAGTCTACTCATATTTTCAACACTTGCAAATCTAAGTTATTTCTGCCTGCAGATGAGTCTAACTTGTGTAGTTTCTACATCTGTAAGATACAGAAGAAGAATGCTTCTCTTCTGTAAGAGAAGCAGATCAGGCCAGATTTCTCTGTGAAATAAAGCTAGTCTTACTAGAGCAGGATTCAATAATGCAGTCAAGTAATTTCAGAACCAGGATGCACTTGCAAAGAAAAATCAGTAATACCACTATAATTATCTCTATAGAATATTTATAATTCATATTAAAACTGAAGCTAATTAAATACAAAACATATTTGAATCATTAAATAGTAAAGCAAATAAATAATAATTATTTAATTACAGCCAATTTTGCATTTTCACTAAAATAAAAATCCTGCTCAATGCTCAAGTTCATGAGCAAAGGCAAACTTGGATTTAGACCAAAGTGAATGGATACAAACTAATCAAATCATTAAACAGAATGTTAAGCAATCCATTGTGCATTTTCTTTCCCCTCCTCAAATATAAAAACCATGTGATTATTTTCAGTATGAACAACCCCTGACTTTTTTTATAGAAAACTTTCTTAATAAGTTTCTCTGGAATCCTGCATCAAGCCCCCTTGGGATCTGTGGTGAGGTCATATTAGATTAGCATAGGCACCAATTCTAAATACTACCAGAGCTTTAGGCTGTACATTTTCCTATGCCTTCCCCTCACTGCATTCCTTCTTCACAGAAAACATTCTTTAGAAGGGTTTCTATAAATACAATAAATTGAAACTTTTAATGGTTTAATCAGCTTCCAACTCTTTACAGAGAGCCAAATAAGAGGTCCCGAATTTTGTTCAACATGCCATTCAGTCTAGCAGTTTTAATATTACAAAATAAATTCTCATAATAAACAAAAAAACCCCTCCACTTTTTAATAGCTCAACAACTATTCAAGGAATATGTCTCAGCTCATGAAGGGGCAAAAGGACGTGGTGACATGTGCCTTTACAAAAAGTTAATGCTGCTTACCCCACTGTGGATTATAACTGTGCAACTTAAGGAAAGCAGCCATACACCCAAGCTTTGATTAAAGAAACTTGTTAAATTCAGGTTAACCACTGCACCCCAGTTTGAGTAGTCTTTATTTTAAGAGATAGTAATTCACTGAATTGCCAGGGATTCTTAGAGCTGAACTATTATTAATTATTTAACTTAAATAACAGATTTTTGGTTCATGTGGCATTTCTGCCCTGATGAGTTTTGTCAAAGCATCAATTATACTCCTGTAAGAAAGATTTCACAGTTTTCTGTGAAAATCCCAAGCATTATTGCTGTCTTACAGCAACTACTGTGTAGGAGGACATAGTATTTACGGACATACGATAGAATAATTTTTCTATGGTTTACAAACCAGACCTTTTCCACTGGAGGTAGGTAAAAAATTAGATAAAGTTCTTAACATAAAAGAAGCCAAATGGATCTTCAAGATTCATGCACTGGAGTATAAAACAGTGTTAAAAGTTCCACTGAGAGTAAAGATATCAAATAAACAGAAGAGAAAAGAACACTTCTCCAGGCAACAGCATTCCTTATCAAATCACTCCTCTCTGACACTTAAGATGGTTCTAGAAAAACTCTCCAGTTTATGCAGAAAGAAGTTCAGTTGGTTTGAATCAAGAGATCATTTGTTTACTTTGATTAAAATAACCACAGAAAATTAGCCTGTATTATATGAATATTTTGTATGATGGAGAGAGAAGGCTTAAAAATAACTCAATTCAAAGCTGCTTGATAGACATCTGTGTACATTTTAGAGTTGCTTTATTGTTGCTGCTGCAGCTTCTGTTACTTCATAGGCTTTCATACTTCCAACTAAAATAAGACCCAGCTGTCCTTTCTATTTTAATTTCAAGGACTGAAACTCAGTCTTTATGCTTTAAAATTTTTTCAGGAAAAAAACAAAAAAAAGAATGGATCAGAATTTAAATAGTTACAATTAAGAAGTGAAATTAAATGACATCCGTCACCACAAGGAGTCTATCCTCCTGGTAACTGTATCAGTGAAGTGCCCAGACAGACCATGAGCACAGTGCAGCTAAGAAGCATGAGATTTTGACACAAAAATGTGAGAAGATGATACAGATATACAACTCCATTAAAAATTGAGAATTAGTTTTCCAGTCTCCCAGTGAGATACTGCACCTCAGGATTAAAAAAAACCCAACAAAACCAAATAATCAAATTCCACAAAACCCTCCAAGAAACAAAACCTCAGGAAAAAAAAAAGAAAAGAAAAAGGAATTGGGCAGGGGAGAGAGAGGGAAAAACCAAACACACCAAGAGTTGTTAATCACCTGGACAAGAAGGTAAGTGGCAACAACCTTAGCCTCTAGATAAAAGAAATTAAAAACCCTAAAGCAAATCCAAACCCTCCCAATTAATAGTGCCAATATCTTAGTTTAGAGAGGCACATGCAAAAGACAAGTACATGACAAATAAACCTACAGAAGCTGATGCCAGAGTTATTTTCTAAGTCTCCATCCATCAGTGCTTTTTTTCTTGCATTTTACAACTCACTTTAAGGCAATAATTATAATTTCTCAAAATTGAGAAATTTCTCAAAATCAAGCCCTGGGCTGCAGCTTTTTCAGGAGTATGCTATGGGAGATGGTGTCAAAGGCTTTGCTGAAGTCCAGGTAGATACACCCACAGCCTTCCCCTCATCCCCCAGGCAGGTCACCTGATCATCAAAGGAGATCAGGTTGGTCAGACAGGACCTGCCCCTCCTAAACCCATGCTGCTGGGGCTGATCCCTTGTCCATCCTGTAGGTGCTGTGTGATTGCACATGTTTGGAGTAAGGCTGTATCTTAGACAAAAGCAAACAAGAGACCCTCCAGCCCAGGTTAACTTGTCTATTATTTTGCAGGGCTTATGCACAAGAAGTGTTTATGGCTTGATGCTGTCTTGCACATCCATTTCCACAGCAACAGAAAGCAGGATGAGTATATCCTTACATGTAATGGAGGTCACATATCCAACATTTCATCTACCTTTACTCACAATATGTAATAAGTACTAGAAGTTATGAGTGAGTATTCCTACAATTTAGTCAATGCAATTACTGAAGCCCTCAAGATTTCAGTATAGCTTACCAATTCTGCATCTCAACAAGCAAGCTTGGTCTACTTTTAATCCAGGAAAGTAAAACTGAAATAAAAATTCTGCAAGACTGATTTCCTTCTTAAACACAGTATTCTCTTAAAATATTTTCAGTTGAAGCATTAAATCACAGCAAGCTGAGCTATGCTCCTATTTCATAAACACCCAGATAGTGCTTTTCTTCCTTTAACAGATTCCAACCAAATATATCTTTTTTTTAGAACATCAGTTTCACTCATGAGAAGCATAAAAATATCTGTATACATACATATATATATATTTATGAAAGGTATTTCAAGCCAATATGTTTAAGCATAGAGCTTGCCAAGAGGCTCATAAATAAAAACACTGCTGTACAGCTAGAAATTGTCAGAGGTGCAATAGCTTAAAGAGATTAATATGGTTCTACGTAGAAAATAAAAAGCTACACCATTTTCTCACATGTGAAAGCCAACTTTTGAGCAACAAATTCATCTCAAAGATGAATACCTTGCTGACAAATGCACACACATACAACTCCACCCAAACTGGGAAATATGAGAACTAGATCACTTTTTTCTGTAAGTTAAAGTGAGGCAGTGATCATGACCAAAAGAGCACTATTCATCAAGAACTTGGTGATCCAAGTAACAGTAGACCTGAGGAGGTCCAGGCTTGGGGTGTGCTGCACAAATTTCTGGGGTACAAGATAAATCAAAGCAGCTGATTGTAACAGAGGAGCCTGCAGGCAGCTCCCACATGGTACCAGCAACTGAGCCACCTGTGTGTCCTCACCTTTATGGAACAGTGCAGCATCAAGTTCTCATGCAAACTTCCTTTCTGTTCAAGAGTTGCAATGAATAATAAGACACAATAACTTGAATGGCCAAAAAGGTGGAAACTCTCCTTATGAACAGGGAGTGCACAGCCTGCTGATTGTGCATTCCCATCATGTGTGCAATTTAAGATTGTTTATACAAGTCTCTCCTTTCATATCCAGCTCTAATAAACAGTACTTTAAATGTCACTTTACAACAGTCTGAGTGGCTTTCTTACTGGGATCATGATGGACCAGTAACTTCTGCTGAAAACACTTATAAGCATTATAATATACGAAGTATTAGCAACAGGATAAGCTGACCTGACCATATCCCTTTCAGACAGTGAGAATAACAAACTTGCATTTGGGTAAGAGGGAAACATTCATCAACATGCTACATCTACCATGCTGGTTTGAGTTCCCAATATGCAGAGTCAGAAACTATAACTTCCTAGGTAAAAAGCAGGTGGAAGAAATGGGAAAATGGATGAAAATCATCTTTTGACAAAGGTTAAATTTGATTAAATTCTAATTTAGATTCTGAAAAATACAGATTTGTTGATTTAATTAGGTGGGAAGGAATTCAATGTCTGTCTTTGGAGACCTAAAAAGACGTTTCCTCCTAGACAAACAAACCCTGGTTTCCACCCCTCTTATCCTCTCTGTCCCTTCTTCCTCAAAAAAAAAAAAAAAAAAAAGAAAAAAACCCTAAAGTTCTGACACTTTCATTACAGAGAGAAGCTGACATCAGGAACTTATTACTTCATCACTTACCCTGAAACACTGGGAAAGATGCTTTATATTTGCTTGTTGTAACTTGCAAAGCACCAACTTTAAAATGCTGTTTTTAACACAGACATACCTGTTTCCACCACTTCACCGAGTATCTACTTACCAGGAAAACCTTCAAAAGTGATTCTGTCCCCAGGTACTGCTCCAGGTGGGGGAGCCAGAATTTCAACTTTTTCTGGGGAGCTGGCACACATCACCATTGCCTGAGATACTACTCCTCTCATCTTTGCAGGCTTCAAGTTACAGAGTAGTATTGCCATCCGATTCTGCATCTTGGGGGAGGAAAGCAGAAGGATGTGAGTACTCAAAATGCCACATGCTTTTGGGGACTCCTATTATTTCACTATAACAAAAGAATTACAATGATGAGATTAAACATGACAAGAGAAGCACAAGAGAAGCATGTAGCAATGGGTTCTCCATTTTAATGCCTGGACACGAGTAACAAATAGCATTCAAATCACTTAAGATCTAGACAGTGAATAATGGAGTAAATGCTGAAATATGGCATACTTATTATAGTAATATAAAATATGCAATTCAGAAATTCAAAAACCAGCTGAGTCATTTCACCTGCATTCCATCTTTACTCATTCTAGACCACCAGTTCAGTCCACTTTCAATACAGCAATATTAAACAAGCAACTTCTATTTAATAATAATAACAACAAAACCACTCTACAAATTAGGCTAGCTCATAGATAAAAACAACAAAGAGCCATCCTCAATCTATTACACACTTCTCTGGATCTTAAGTTTGCCAGCAAACACAAGTCACAGGTTTGGTTACAGGGATGTTTCTACTTGCTTCATATCTGAAAAGAAACAAGAGCATTTAATAAAGCCTTGAAGTGTAATGCTTCAAGGAAGGAGGAAAGCTGAGGTAAAAAGTGGTTTACTTTAAGAAAGGTATCTTATATTGCACAGAATGTATAAATAAGTTTACAGTCATGATGCAGTCATTGTTCTTTATAATTTACAGATATGTCTTTTCCATCTAGACTAGACAAGACAAAGAAAATTAGAAGATCAAGAATATGTAGAAAGAATATTATTATCATTCTGTCTAGGAAAAAGAAACAAATTCTAGTTCGACTTGCTCATTCCTGGGTGGACAACACAAGCAATGGTCTAGAAAGAAAAAAGGTCAAGCCACTGAAGTGGAAAGAAAAGTTTCTGCTATAATAATGAGACTATGTAGTTCATAACAGATAGAATTGTAATGTATCCTCTCACAATGAATGGCTGTAGAATAGTGTTTCTGGAGGCTGGTGGTGGCCTTTTCTCTTTTTGCTAAGTTTAAGATACATGCCCTTCATTCTTGTCCTTCACTTATGGTCACTGACATGAGGATCTCTTATGATACAGGTGATTTCAAGGTTTCAAAAGGCAACACTTGAGAACTCTCTGAACTTCAAGAATGATTGCCTGAGACAGGTATTGATGCTAGGATCACACAGAGATGCACTTCAAAAAGCCAAATGCAGTGGCAGAAAAGCTGTCAATTCCTCCTAACATTTCAAAATGTTCTCCCATTGTTCCCAGCTGCTGCTGAGAAAGCTCAGCACTGGCATGGTCCACCTCATGTCAATATCCTTCCATATCCCTGTTGCTGATGACACATCTGTACACAATACTTGAGGGTGCAACTTTGGACTTGGCTACACCACCACGTGCACAGAAGCACAATAGACCACACAAAGTGGCCATGCAAGAAGTTTTCACACCCACAAGCAACTTGCACTGCATACTGACATGTTAGTGAAGATACATACTGTGCTTCCTGATCAAAAGTAAACTCAGATGATACAACAGCCTCAAACTCTGCTAAATCACCACATCAAACACTGAACTCATGTACAGCTGAATTTTTTTGTGAATTATGGCTATAGTGCTTGATCTGATGTATACATTTTTAATGAAATATATGGCAGTAGATGCCAGGCCTTCCCATTTTTGAGCACTTAAAACAAAAAATTCAAACAAAAAACCAAACACGAAGAAGATGGAAGCTTGCCCTAAGAACTTACTCTCTTAATAGAGACTTGCCAAAACTAAAACCAGACACAGAAATTGTTCTCAAAGAACGTGCAAGGACGATCCCTAATTCTCTGTTAATGAGTACTTCAGATTATTTTTCCAGACAGTAAGCAGGTTAAAGAGAAAAGACTTCTACCATTACTTCATTCTACATACTTCATGCTTGCAAGTACAGGAAGGATGTTTTTTTCTACATGCTTTCTTGAAAGCAGACTGCTAAAAACAAACAATTTGAAATTTTGGCCACTGCAAATCCAGTAACTGGACGCTATCAGGTGATCAGTGCAGAATAGTTATTATATTCAGGGGTTTTTTTCTGGTTCACTAACTTTCTGTAGCATAAAAACAGCAATCACAATTTTAATTGCTTCCTACATTTACAGTCTTACCATGGGGACAGACTGTGAAAAGACATTTGAGAAAGTGTAACTTTTCCACACTGAGATCAATTCCTTCATGATCCATTTTGCAGTTCCTCTGCACAACACTGTTTTAAATACCAGGCTTGCATTTGAATTTAGAAGCAGCCTTCAATCAATTCCTCCCTTTATTTAACTCTCTAGAAGAGGTGTGGAAGGAAAATTTAATCTTAAAGTCTTAGGCTGTTCCAAAGGCATCCATAAACCATGCGTGTCAATCAGAAAAGTGTTATCACCTAAAAAAAAAAAGCATAGAGGCAGACTATTCTGGATGAGGAATGAGGAAAAATGCATTTTGTATTCCACTGTTGTTTAAGCTACTCACTGTCAGATAAATTAAATTTAAATGCTCTTTGCTTTACTTCATGCTGAACATTTCAAAGGGCTACAAAAGAGAATTGGACGACAAAGGTTTCAAAAGTTTGGATCATAGCAAAAAGTTATGATTTCTCTACTATATACTAGGAAACTTAAAGAGACAGTCACATCTGTTTGGTTTAAGAGTCCAGTGTACCAATGAGAGAGGAATTAGAATAAGATCCAAGGAAAGAAACACTGGAACCAGAAAGGAACTGGTGTGGAGTAAAGGTACTTCTCTGTTCTCTGGCAAGTGCTGTTAAACTTTACCTCCATTTGCATTTTATTTTTCTTTTCATGACTGTACAAAATCTTTTAGCAGAACGAAACCATATCTTATAAACAGCTGAAGGTCTTTAAATACCTTTTCCTTTCCTGCAGTATCAATAAATAATTTTGTCAATACCTTATCCAGAGGAACGTGCTTCACTAAACCACTGACAACAGTCCTTGGGCTTGCTTCTCCAACATCCACTTGTTCAACATACAGAGTGTCTGCATCCGGATGCTTTTCAGCAGTAATAATGCAGCCAACACGAAGATCCAGACGAGAAACATCTACAGGTTTTGCATCACTACTTCCAGCAGCTGGCTGCTGTTTCTTCTCCTTCTTTTCACCTATTAACAAAAGTTTTGTTCATGAAATAAACAAGAAAAATAAAAGCACAACTAGTGTACACAAACATTGCAATGGAAAAGTGAGCTACAGTCTCAGAAATAATCGTAAGTTCAGTGTCAAATGCAGAAGAAGAGTAAAGGTGTAGCACCTCTATTACTAGTTTCCCCATGGTGAAACATCATACACACTTCAACTTAAGATTGTTACCTCAAGCAAATTACCACCTTAGGACAGAGGTATTTTCCTGTTTGCAAAGTGAAGTCATCCTGAACTTTCAAGTTTAGTTAAGTTTCTAAGTGACATATACACTCTGCCAAAGGCCACATCAATAAGCTTGTCAAAGTGAAATCATCCTGAACTTTCAAGTTTAGCTAAGTTTCTAAGTGACATATACAGTCTGCCAAAGGCCACATCAATAAGCTTGACAGTCCTGTTTTAACAATCAGCAGTTACCATTAAGCATTGCCATGGTGTTTCACCAGCAAAGGGAAACTAGGCAACCACAATTCATCAGGTTATTGGTGCTTAACTGCATCATCCACAGTCAGGAGTTGTGAAGTCACTGCAACTGCACTGCTACAGCTGCAACGTATCCCTTCAAGATGACCTTAGTGAACCTTCTTCCCTTCCCAAATAAACTAGTGTGTGATAATGCTCATGGCTTATGAGGTTCTGCTGATGTGGAATCTTTGTCCCATGATCATCACCCATACATACTGCATAGTATAAAACAACACTGAAGCAACACTCCCCATACTCAGCTGTCTATTTAGATATTCCTTCCAAGATGAGCAAGTCACATCCAGTTTGTATATAAGACTGTCTTGTTTAGAAGACATTGAAGATTTGTTTAACAACTATCACAGGAAGATTAAGAAATGCCTAAGACGTTCTTACTTAAAATAAGTATATTCTGCTGTTCTTTCATGTAAGATAGCTTACATATTAATGCAAACTAAACTCCCTTCTTCAGGAAGCAAAAATAGTAACAGTGGACAGAGCACAGCATACAATTTGATTCACTCATCACTGTTCTAGTATAGGTGTGAAATTAAATAATATATTCAATAATACAAAAACCAGTATTTAATATAAGCAATAGCTCTTTAAAAAAAATTTAAGTTCATACATGATGAATACAAAGTTCTAGTGTGAGTGGGTTTTATTAATCTAATTGACGGTTTGATTATTTTTTTAATCTAACCTGTTTCTGCGAGGAAATGGTTAGTGATCTGCTTAGCCACTTGGATCCTCACAAACCTATGGGACTGGATGGGATCCATCCCAGAGTGATGAGGGAGCTGGCAGAAGAGGTCGCCAAGCCTCTCTCCATCATTTACTGACAGTCCTGGCTCACTGGGGAGGTCCCAGATGATTGGAAGTTGGCAAATATCAATCGAGAAAAAGGGATGCAAGGAGGACCCAGGA